TATGTAAATATTAGTTTTGGTTTTTAAAATTATTCAATTTTAGATTATTTCGTATATATAGGTTGCAACAAGATGGTATCGAGCACCAGAAATAATGCTCAATGCTCGTGTTTATAATAAACCAATTGATATATGGTCCGTCGGATGTATACTAGGCGAAATGCTTGACGGAAAACCATTATTTCCTGGTACGTTTTACTTATTTGAAAAAAAAAATCTTCACTTATTTTTATTAATTATCTTTCTAATAGGTAAACATTATATTGATCAACTCAATTTAATTCTTAATGTTGTTGGTTCTCCAGATGAACATGATTTAACATCAATTGTGAATGAAAAAGCACGAAATTATATAGCTAGTTTAAAACCTCGTATAAAACAACCTTTTACTGTTCTTTATCCTCATTCAGACAAAAATGCATTAGATTTACTTGATCGTTTATTAACATTTGATCCAAATAAACGTATTAATGTATCTGATGCACTTGCTCATCCATATTTAAAACCGCATCATGATCCAAATGATGAACCTATTGCTAAACATCCATTTACTGTTGAAATGGAAATGGATGATTATCCAATATTAGAATTAAAACAATTAATATGGTATGAAGCAAAATTAATTAAAAACCATATTTCATCACAACAAATGCCTATTACACCATAATAAAAAAATAAGTTTTATCTTGTTATAATGAGTTTTTTTTTTCATGGTTGATTCTTTGCATTATTTTCTCCCTTTGTTGTTTTGTTCTTAATGTACAGATAAAAAACAACGATAAAAGCTATACTTTGAATTTTTTCAAGCATAAGAAAAAGATATGATCATGATTATTCCCTAGAGATTTCCATTAACTTTCAGCTATCTCAATAAGTTTGGAACGTCAAAAAACCTCTGTCACGTATATTATCTAGTAATAAATATTCCGAATTTATGATAAATGATAATATTCATATTCATTCAATTCGATAAGAAAGATGCATTATTTACAAAATCAACGAGATAATTGCTAATACTCATATTGAATATATCTATAAGACCATTTACCAGCCCGTGAATTAAGAAATCTATTAACGTATAATAAATGTCCTCGAGCAATAAATGATTCTAGTCCATTAATCATATTTGAATTAAATTATTTTTTCCATAATATAATAGTGCTTATGAACCAAAAATGTTGTGCTACAGAGTGAATATAATAATTAACACATCATTTTATTAATATAGTATTAAGATTACTATATTTCATGTAGTATATCTCATGAATGAAAATACGATAATATATTCTTACTTAATAATTTATAATTCATATTTATCTTTTCGGTGTAAAGTATATTTATTCAGAGAAAAACTCTATTAAGCAGACAATATGTTGATTATATATTCAATTTACTGATATTATTTGAATAACTAATAGAAAGGAAATAAATACATTTCATGATATAGTAAGAGATAAGTAACACTTGATGAAAGTATAACAAAACAAAACAAAAGCATCTATATTACCTAATTAATTTGCTAGAAAAAAATCTAGAATAATTTGGTATATAAAAGATTAAATCTTGTGAAATCATTCTACCAAAAAAGCTCAAGTGCATAAACATCGTGTATGAATTAGTAGAAAAGAGATTTTTCGGAACTCATTTCACTTATTCAGACATGACAGATTTCTACTGGAAATCTTACAATGAAATATATAGAAAAAAAAGGCATTTAGTAAAGATACAATATTTAATTGCACTATTACAAACAAGGATTGAGTATTTGTTAATAACTTGACTATTGCATTATTCATCTATTAACAAAGAATAGATTTCTTCCTATGGTATTACACTCTCTACCCCCAACAGTGTTTTCAGAAGTGTCACTAATAAAATTATTACAGAAATAGACTATTGATCTTGTTCAAATGCTAATGGTAGTCATAGAACAACTAGACGTATTATATTTTAGGTGAGCTTATTTGATCAGTACACTGATCATTGAAAGAAAGGAACGAATCGGCTGATTGTTAAAGTCACAGTTTTCTCATGTACAATGGTAATTTTGACACAAACTTTATAAAAGCAAATCTTTAGTCATGAATTAGAGAACTATTCGAGGTGTAATTTGTCGTTTGAACTTATATTGAGATTACAAGGAAGCTTCAGTAAGACTAGAATTAAAACAATTAGTGCCGATCAAGCTCTAGAAATGAATTATGAGCACTTTACTGAATCTTTGACCCAGATTTAGGTATTCATTGGAGGATCAAATAATGAAAATTCGATCTGCAATGCAGCCTATAGATACATCTAATGACTCTTGAAACATCCTGAGAGTTTCAACTGAAAAGAAGATTCGTATGTTGAAATATTGAATTTTCAAATAAACTGGATTTTTCTGATGTGCCTATGGCAAGCGATGAAAATTCAAAATATTGACATAGGAATATTTTTTTCGGCTGTAGTTTTCAGTATATTCATTCGATCTATTGATGGGCGAAATTTTTGATCGAGATTTCCATTATTTGATTTTTTCGTCATTACTTAAAAATAGGTTGAAGATTCTGTAAAGAAAGTTATAACTCGGCTTTAACGTCGAATTACCTCTGGAACACTTCTCTTATGAGTAATAACATAATAAATGATGCTATCACTTTTAACTCCGATAATTGTAGCAGAATCTATTCAATAGTTTAGCATGTCTTATCTAACGAGCTATCAAGAAGCCTGTGCAACACATTTGATTCATTTGTAAGTATTTTCGTTGATAGAAATATGACATAAAATGTCTTCGAGATATATTAAAAATGACAGACTTAAAATAGACTCTAAAAAAAACCAGTCGAGAATTATCTTCTGTATTTTCCAATATATTCGATAAAAACAACCTCCATACAAGATTAAGTCATAGAAAAATCCTCAGTAGATATTTTTCGTTCCGCTACTTATTTTGGTTTCAAGTAGAAAAAAAACTTGTAAACAAAAAAAAATTATTTTTCCAAATTTACGATTTTTTATGTAATGCTTTTCAGAGACAGAGAACGAAGAAACAAAAAAAGATATTTTTTGAGTAATTGATAGTTCATTAAATTCTTTACAATTAGCATTGAGTTATTTGTAGATCACATGATTCAATTTTTTTCAATGGTGTTTCTGAAGAACAGTTTATCAGAAATGTTTGAAACTTCACGATAAATAGATAGATCTTGATGAGGAGAGCAATAATTGTCATAGACTCTCTGTTCCCGAATACGTTCCTTTAGGAAATGTCTGAGTCACACAGGCTGAAAACCGCCCACTTTCTCAGCTACAATATGTCGAATGTTTTTTTTTCCACAGACATTAGACACTGTTTGAAATATCTAATGTTTTAAGTTTCTTTCTATCCCTTTCCATTCATATAAAATGATAAAAATACTTAGGGTTTCTCCAAAAATGTTTTTTTAAAATAAAAAAACCAGACATCCGAAACATTATCCAATATCTGCGGAAAGAGTTTTAGCTCGATTGAATGTATTATGTTGGAGAAATGGGAGGCGATTTTGCACTTTTTTGTATAAAAATTAATTTCGAGAAAAGCAAAAAATAAATTTTCCTGAATCTATTAGGACTTTTTCTCAAACTAAAGTGATTGAAAATTGATGATATTAGGAGTTCATTACTCGTACACTCAGCATTTTGGAAATGCAAAATAATTATTATCATTAAGAAAATTTTTACATGCAAAGAATAATTACAGCATGAATTTTTCAAAAGTTAGTTTTAATAAAAGTACTAAGCAACAACGAGGAGTGTATTTAACAGAACATACTTTGAAACAATATTAACGATGAGAAAACGAAAAGCTGAAGACACTTTGATTTTAACATCTGAAGAGCCAGTGGCTACTACTTGTGACATACTCGCAACGATATGGCTCAACAATAGGTTCTGGTAGACAATATCGGTCAAATGTCCTCAACATAGGGATCTTGGGTTCATCAAAGTCTCATGATTTGAAACTTTGTAAGAAGGCCTATCTTGATGTACATTGGTCGTCGATACAAATCAGTGGTAAAGAGAGATGATCTACACGAATGTGATACTATTACGATACTGAATCTCAATGAATCTCGGATATTTTTACAGAGAACTGATCATCAGATGACGCTGTTCTCATGGTGAAATTGTTAAGAAATTAGACTTCATGGCATGAGCATGAGAGTCTTATTATAATTAGCATTAACAGATGCGCGCCAATTTTTTTCCAGAATAACCTAATTCGCTGAAACTTGCAGGAGACATAAAGTAACTTGCGATTTCTGGAAAATCAAGGTCATCCTTAATATGATATGCATTTTGTCAAAACTTAACAAAATCAACTTATATTTTGTATACTTTAAAGCTTCATTGTCTAGCTATATGTTCATAGGTAAAACAGGTAAAAATTATGTAATCTCAATGAAAGACGGGAGTCCTATTGCCAAAATGATGAAATTGTAGACCTGATGAAAAACAAAAGCGCTTAGACTGAAGTTTGTGGCAATGATTAACGTGTATTTAGAATCATATTTCTGCATATTATCAAACCATGAAATTTTAACGAGTGCAACATCCAGTGTATTGAATTCTCAATTGAACGAAAATATTCAATTTCGCTTAAATAAAATAATAAAATATGTAAAATTAATATTTATTGAAATACATCAAATTGTTTATTTTATATCGATCAACAGAAAGAAAAGAAAAGACATGACTTGCGATGTAAAGAATTGCAATCGAAGATTTAAAAAAATTGTAATTTCTATGCTTCACAGTTACAAAAAAAAGGAAAGAAAAGAGATGTATAGAGTTAGAAATTCTACACATATTTAATACTAATAAAAGGAATGATTGCCATAAAAAGGACACAAAAGAAAAATACACATATATATTAAATAGAATTTATTTACTAGTCTCACTAAGAGAAAATAAGATCATCTATTTGGTGACTTAAGCATAACCAATCAAACAGATTATTGTATAAAGAATTTCATTTAAGAAAAAATTGTTATTACTTCACGTCCACTACCACGCATTAATAATAAACGATCTAAACCTTCTGTTAATGCATCAACATATTCCATATATGAATAAGCAGCTAAACTTGTATGTTTTGATGGTGGTGATGGAAGATTAATAAGAACAAGTTTAGCATCACGTGAACGATCACGAATTTGTTGATTAAGTCGTACAGCTGAATGCATTTTACGCATTGATGATTCACTCCTATGAAAAAAAAAACAATACAACAAAAACTATCAAAATATTAATATTTTTTTGCTGTTGTTCGTATTTACACAGATTTTTTTAAATTTTCAAGTTGATTTGGTGTGAATGTGTAATGATATTGATCATTTGATTCATCAATACTTTGTTGTCGTTGATTATTTAACAGTGATTCCATTAAAATTTGTGGCTAAAATATATATATATATTGATTAATATATATATATGAGTAATCTTTGAATAATCAAGTACGAATAGTACGAATCAATACATAAGCATAGATTAGAAAAAAAGAGGGAAAGTTGATCAATCAAAAGCTAGACATGACACAAAAATCATCACTATACTGATCACCTTGCTCGCTCGTCGTTCAAAACCTTTAGCCTATATGTATATATATAAATACAATTATGATTCGTTGAATAAAGGCTTTAAATAAATAAAAGAAAGTTGGCTGTTTAAATGGTCTACCTGAAGTTGTAATTCTTTATCAGGTAATTTTAGATCTTTTAAAAGTTTAACACGTTCAGCCAATTTTAATGTTCGTTCATAAGCATAAGCTGATATTTCTTGATTTTCCTATAAAATTAACATAACATTTAAATTTCATTCGAAGAAGAAAAAGAAACATTTTTCAAAAAAAATCAAACCATTTCAACAACATCAACTTCAGCTTCAATACGTAATTGATACATATATTGTTCAAGATCTCTTTTCATTTCAACTGAATTATCTTCGAGTTGTGCAACAGTAAATAATCGTAAACGACAACGTGACCATACTTTATTACGTTTTAAAAGAAAAGCAATAAGAAAAAGAAGTCCACCATCATGAATAATCCACCATATATCAATTGTACCCTCTTGAATTTCTTTATTGTCTGGAAAACTATTCATATTTTTTGGTACAATAACAGCACATCGACGTGCTTCAGCAACAGCAATAGTACCTAGATTAAAATTTATAGGACTTAAAATTATACCTAAATATATACATATTTAAACATACGAATAAATGCATCAGCTGTATAACAGTCATAATCTTTCTTCCAATGTAATGGCCAACAAAGAACGATTGTATTTGGTTTTAAACCACCTAAACCTTCAGTTTGAATACTATATCAAAGAAAAATAAAATACTAAAATTAAAATTTCGAATACAATTTACGTACAGTGCACTGATACCATCTTCAGCATCTTTAGCAACAAGTACTTCAGCAAAACCTTGAACTTTTGCTTGAGCTAAACTAGTTTTTAATAACTAAAATGAGATTAAAAAAATTATTGATTTCAGCAAATATAGAATAAATTCGATTTAAAAAAAAACACACATTGAAACCATAATAAATACTCAATGCTGAAATTTTTTAACTAACAAGTCACTTGTGAATCAAGATTATGTAGACTCACATTAGCTATGCATATCCTGAAAACAGTTCATGTCCTTGCTGTGAAGATACTATACTTTCACGGTATATTTAAATGGATGCAGAAATAGCAGAAAAACTGATTTTCGATTTGGGGCGTAGGCGTTAATGAGAATAGTTTTTTTTATGAATGTTTCAAATCTTGTCCCTGCACTTATCCTAAGATACAACAATAGTAATAGCTTGCCTTTTATCACCACTCATATAACCTGGCAGATTCGAAGTTCTTATTTTAGGATAGAAACCAATTCAAAGACCAAGACATTTATTTAAAAAAAAACGAACTCTTTTTAGAACACATATATAGCTCATTTATATCGACATAATCTCGAATTAAAAGCGGCTTATCAATTGCAAGATTTCCATTATAAAAAGTATTACATGATAATTTAAGCCTCTAAGCAATTAGTATAATGCTATTTCAACTAAATAAGAAATGTAAAGCTAATGTTACAAAATAAACTTCTTATTTTCAAATGCAAGGAATCTCATACGACAAGCGCAATATTTTATTATCGGAGATTAATCAATGAAATGTCGGTCACTCAGCAATTTAAGATCTTTAGTAAGACATATCATTCTTTGTGATTGTTTTCTTTTCAAACACACAAGAGTTTTTCAAAACACGTTTAAACATCCTAATCGTGGTTCTCTTTTGAATGTTTTCACGTTCATTTAGAAAACAACTAAATCACTAACTAGTTTCATTACGAATGACTTGTGAAGGAATTTTAAAAGGAAACTTTTGTGTCTGAAAAACGCTTCAAAAATTCTTTCATAATATCTTTGGCATACACTAGACATTAAAAAAAGTTATTCTTATCTGTAAAAACATGAAAATATTGCGAAAAAAAAATTGCACGTTTTCCTGATACAAAAGTTGTATTTTTAAGAGTGTTTATACATTTTGTCATGATGAAAGTAGCTAATTTAATATTGTCTGAATGAACGTGAAAATACTCATACATGAAGTGTGTCAAGAATGTAAAAACATGTATTTAGAAATTCTCTTTTGTTTGAGTTCCCATTTCTATCTGAATACATTTAATGTTAACTTTCGATATAAGGAAAACGTCTAGAAAACTTTAATAAATAAACTGTTTATTTATATAATCTTAGTGTATCCAATAATTATGATACTTACTAAACGAACTGGTTCAATATGTTGATATTTATCAAGATAATCGCCTTCGAGAATGCTTGCTGCAACAACAAAACCTTGTCCTAAACGTAAATTATTAAGATACTCATGTATAAAAAAATAAATATATTGATTTACCAGCTTTAAGTTGATAGAGAAAATTCAATAATCTTGGATGACGTAATACATAGGATTCATCTTCTTCATTTCGTTGTACATTAATAAATGCAAGTAATTGTGGTCGCCAATTTTTTGTATGAGGGGGAGCTTCATCAACACGATATAATGCATAACGAGCTGCTGACATTGATAAACCACGTATACCATCACCCCATTCTTTTTCAGCTCTATATAAAAATTAAGAAAATGAATTTAAAAATTTGAAGAAGACAATATGTTTTTTTCTAAGCATTTTAGTACCCTTTATATTCGATAAATTTGTATATTACTATTGCAATAATCATTGCTATAAGAGCAAAATACCATGAAGCCATAAACATAATTGAAATAGAAAGAAGAACACCCATAAGAGATAAAATCCTAAAATAAGAATTAATTTTTTATTCTTAATTAAATGAAAAAAAAAACAATTGTTTTTTTTATACCAATGATAAAAACGAAAACGTGGTCGCCAACTAGGTGCACGTAAAATAGTTTGTAAAGCACAAGCTAAATTCACGAAACCATAACATAATAAAAAGAACCTGAAAGAAAAACGATCTTTCTCTTTTTTTAAGATTCTGATTTTATTTACATTGATAAAAGTGCTGTAAGTTTGTCAAGATCAGCAATAAGAATACCACATTCACAAATTAATAATGTTAGAAAAAGAGCTGGTACTGGCTCACCACGATAAGATTTTGCCAATGGACCAAGAATTGGTACTAAATCATCTTTAGCAACAGCTTGTAACAAACGTGGTGCACCTTAAAACGAAAATTAATTAATAACATAGCTAATAACAAATTATTCCATTTTTCTTTCGAATTCTTTTCATTCGAACATTTTAACATTATAAACAGACAGCAAACTAACACGAGATCATTTCCAAGAAGCTGGAAGAACATTTCTACCTTACGGTAGATGCAATAGATTGATACCTTCCCTACAAGTAATGCTTGCAGTAGCTATCTTTGAAACTAAGAACAGCTTAATAGTAGACCTCTCTTACTGGATTGCTGATCGGCCTTTGATGAAGAGTTATGACCACTGCCATGAAATTTTTACTAAGAATAAGGCATTTTCGAAAAGCGCAAAACAAAGATTTTTAAGCTTAAGTTTTGCGTATAGGTACCTTTAATAACCATAAGATAGTTTTCAAAATATCAACGCAAACGGACATGTCTTTCTCGAGATACTCAAGATCTAAGAAAGCGACAGCTCACAATAAGAGGATACTGTAATTGAGTCTAATTGGAACTACAGTATCTCGAGAAAGACATGTTCACTGTTGTTGAAACTCTCAAAACTCTCTGAAGACTATCGAACAAGAAAATTTCAACTCGAGATGGATTGTTTTGGATTTTCCGAGATCGGTTTACTTTAAGTAAAACTTTCGTTTAAATCATCATAACTCTTCAGCAAAAGGCTATAACGTATATTAATCAGAGAGAAGTCCGCATAAGATATTAACTTAAGGCAAACCTGTATATACTTTTGTGGCCCTCATAAAAAGCTTTCAAAATATTTTAACAAAAAAAACCATCCGAAAACTGAAATTTCTATTAATTAAAGTTTTCAAGTATCTTTTAAGTAAAGTTTGTCAATCTTTTTTTTTTGAACATATTTTTACCTGTTAAAGTTTGTAAACCAGCTCCAACAGTCGAGCAAAATGCTCCAATCATAATAACCCATTTACTTGGCCATGCTAAAGCAGCGACGACTAATTGTTTATTAATACTATCTCCAAATTTATCTCTTAATAATGAACTATGTGTACATGCACCCAAAAATATAACATTTGATAAATCTAGAAAATAAAGAATTTCAATAAAAAAAGTTATTTGAATTGATACAAATTGTGTACAAATGGTTGATGTTGTTAATATAGCAGCAATTGTTCCACGTGGAATACTTCGACTTGGATCACGTAAATCACCACTACGATTTGAACCAGCCATAATACCTATGAAGTAAAACAAATGATTTATTTTTCTTTGACTTTTTTTTTTTTATAACAAGAACAAAAAAGAATTAATTTTACCAGTAACAGATGGAAAATAAATGCCAACAAGAATTAAAAATGTTGTTATTTCTTGTGCGACAACTTCAAATGTTGAATCACCTTTAATATCACGTTCAATTTCACCTACATGTCGAAAATGCGAGACAAGATTTTCTAAAACAAAAAGAAACTAACATCATTAGTAATCGCATGCCGTTTTTTTTTTCGTTTGTTTCCTGTTTAAATAAAAAATTAAAATCACCTGACAATTGCCAATGTTTAAGACCAGGTATTCCTTGTTCAGTTCGTACATTTTCAATATATTCATTATTTGGACATAATGTATTTGTTGATTTATTACATATAGATGCATAAAGTGGACATAATACTGTTTTATTACCTTCGTAACACCATTTATTTCCATGGCAATAAGTTTTTACATCGTTATGAAGTACAGATGATTTAATTAAATGTGATGGATTCGAACCGATCAGACAAATACTAAACAATAGAAACAATATATTCTTTTTACGACAAAGAATTGCGTTGGATTTGTTAATCTATTCTAAATCAAGATGCCATTTATATGGTTTTCTAGAACAGGTTATGGTGCATCGAATAGTATATAAGAAATCAACGTTTTGATGTTCTGAAAGTTCATATACTGATTATATTCCTTGACTAGTCATAGGTGCTTTTCAATTTTCTATAATCAATAGTTCTCAACGTGGGTTTAACAACAAGAAAATGTCAACTTAAAACTTTCATAAAAGTTGTACACTATCGAGCCCTATATGTTTTACACACTCAACGACCCTATTAATAATTTTTATGTATCAATAATGATCACAGCAATTTTGATGAACGGATATTAATAACTGCTTGGTAACAGGAAATTTTTTTGTTCTCCAAACCCCTGGAGAGGAGTACGGATATAAAGTGACAAGTAGGAGGTCTGTTATTTTTATTATTTCTTTTTTAAATTATCTCTTCGAGTAACCAGATTTAGGTATTGCATGAACCTCTTCAAGAAACTATAAATATCTCATGCTCATTTCAAAAAGATAAATTTCTATATCCTCATACTTCCCTCCATGAGTTTGGAAGTGAACAATTATTTTTTCCTTTATAGAAGAGTCATTTAGATCAGTTCGTCAGAGATACTGTGCTGATTATTAATACATAAAAATTTTAATAAAACTATTGAGTTTTGTTAAAATAGCATCAATTAACAGAGTGTGACTGCAAAAAGTAGACTATTGTAAAAAAAAACAATGTTGCAATTGGACACTATGTCCCAGCTGTTTCGAAAGATATTATGTGAAAAACATACACAGCTCGACAGTGTACAATTTTTGAGAAAATTTCATGTTGATGTTCACTTATTCTGTGGCACAGAGTTGAATACACTGGAATATCATATAGTCAAGAAATAGCCTAGACCTATGAAAAAGGACACTTTTTACGTATGAGAAAAATTGAGTTTACAAAACAAATATGTACAGAAGTTAATGGCAGGAATTACAATGTCTATAAGTATTCTATAATATCCTCCAAGTATAATAATCAGTGTAGTGACCTTTAGTATATGATAATTTTCGTAAAATTTGATTTCTTATATACCATTCTAAGGGTCACTATTTGCTCTAGAAAATCACATATATGACATGCTTATTCAGGATGGATCATCGAATCTGGCGGTACCCTTTGAAAATGAAAAATCAATACAAAAATTTTGTGTCTAAGCAAGATCAGAAAAAAAAACTTTCATCTTTGAATAACATAAGACAAGAATCCTTAGAGAAATTTTAGTTAGATACACAATACTTTTAGAATATCTATTATCATCGATCAATGAATTAATATACTTGGTTTCAAATGTCTATTATTTATATTTATACATATTGTTTATATTAGCATAATCTTTCATGTAGCAGTATTTTACTTCTTTATTTCTATTTTATAAACTTCATACAAGTACAAACTATTGTTACGACTGCATTTCCTTTACAGAAAATAGCATCTATATGTCATCCTTCAATTCGTTTACTGTTCACAAGAGAAAATAGTAGACATGATGTATGCATCACATCTCTTATTATCAATAAAGTTAGCAGATTCTTTAGTATGAAAGCTTGATCTATTTATTTCTTTTTTTACTAAAGAATGGCAATTGAATTATTTCTACGTTGCTATAGCTGAACGGATCTGACGCTCGTCATATACGTTACAAATAATACACTGTTCACTATGTCTAAGTAATTACAATCTGGTATAAATAGAATACTTGATCAGTAATTTTGTTCGAGAAGTCTTTCAAAAGATCCGAAGCTTTGTTCAACTTTTTACCTGAACAAACATCTGTGTGAGTAGATTGAAAATACAGTGTTCTCTATGTTAGACTCAATAATTATTAACAGCTATTAGTTTTTCTAAAACGATCGAAATATCAATGTGCAGTTTCGATGAAAATACTAACAGTAAATCTATTGACACATCCATATAGTACAAATATGTCAGATAAATGTGTGAACAACAATCTAGTATAGTCAGTGAATAGTTTAATGATACTGTATATTCCTAGATTGGTATGTTGACAGTAAGTTTTTATAAGAAGTTGAATGAGCGAGAAAAACTCTGCATCATGTTAATCTTCTGTTGTTGAGTGATTATTAATTGAAAATGTCTTGACAATATTCTAAACCAGTAGGGGTAACTGGAAAGGAGGTGTCTTTCTTTAAAATCATTTCTAATAAGAATGATACTCCTATATTTGTTCTTAGGAAAATTAATTTAATGGTCAATAAATCCATTTCTATAGATTATCATAAATTAAACTTACGGTAAGTCTGGTGGACTAAATGAACTTTTAATAACACCAGCATAAATGCATAGAAGCGAAATAAGTACAGCCAACAATGATAATGGTGCTATTTTTGTTACAAATTTTATACCAATTAAAACACACGCTCCAATAATTAGAAGTAATAATGTACCGTATATACGATAATGATTAAAAGCTACAAATGGTATTTCAACATCATCACCAAATAGACGACATTTTTCTGGACACATATATTTCTTTGGAAAAAAAATATTTTTTTTTAGATTAATAATAATTCTTTTTTTTTCTCAGAATATACATACGACTACAATTTCAACAGCTCCAACAATATACATAGATGCAGCAAATGTATTACCAAGATAAAATAATATGCCAACTGCACCACCAAATTCTGGTCCAAGTGAACGAGATATCATAAAATAAGCACCACCAGCTGGTACAATCCCGTTCGTTGCAATCGCCGCCATTGATATAGCTGTTAAAAGTGTCTAGATAAAATTAACGTAAAAAGAAAATAATGAAGAATAAAATTAAATAAATATATATTTTCATACGCATGAACTACAAATAATCACAATCAAAAGTGTTTGAAGTACACCAGCGATACCAATTAACCAAAATAGGCGAATAAAGACAATAACACCTTAATAAAACAATGAAATAAATCATAATTATTTTGTATAAAAATTATATCATACCTATTATATTTTGAACACAAGGAAGATAAACACCAAAGATTGTACCAAGATTTGCTGAATTCTATTAAAAAAAAAAACATTCATTCATTTTTTTAATATTTTATATAAAATCTTCAAAAACCTGTCGGACTGCTGTTTGTTTTTCCGCTTCAACTGCATTTGGTACAATACCACCAGTGTAACTATATAATTGATCAAGTACCGTACGTGGTCCATGATCTTGTTCCTAAAAAGATAATCTTATAAAAGCTTATTTATGATAAATAATCTCTTCATACTTCAAAAATACTCTCATTAAATTTAATTGAAACATCAGGTTCTGTGTGTAATGGTGTTTTTTCATGTTGTGTCGTTACATTTGGATTAATCACTTTTTCTAAAAATAAAAAAAAAAAAAAACAGTTTTTTAAGCATTAATTCTACTTTGTCTATTTTATTTAATTAGAACAAATTTATATACCATTCTCATTAACATCAGGTGCATCAGGTTGTTTAACAACAACAAAACGTCCACTCTTTTCACTAGATAATAATGAACCTAGAAATAAAAAATACGAAAATTGCGTCAGAAAAAAAAACAGAGTAACTCTCTCAATTATTTAATAGCATGATTTCTTTTTTCCTAAGATGAAGTAAAGAGTATATAATCTAATCTGACATGCCTCGATCATTCAATATTGGACAAGTACACGCAAAAGAGTAATCAATAAATGCATAGTTATTTTCCTTGTTATTTTAATTATTTTGACATTGATGATGAAAAATTTATGAGCAGTTCATCTTTAACAAGTCGTTGATTAGTTTTAAGAACAAACCTTGTCCTGAACTAGTAGATGGATCATCAACATTTACACTATTTTTTTGTTGCTGTTGATTAACACTAAATGAAACATGATAAGGTGATCGATTTGATGAATTGGACATGTTTTGTTGTTGAGTTTTTGTTTTTGGTTGATATTGCCGTTATCTAACAGAAGATAAAATGAATCGATTTCTTTTGTACGATAAATAAGAATAAAAAGGAAAGTAAGACAATATGTCATCATATCCGGTCGTGTTGTATTCGTTCTTTTTTTCCTTCCTCAAATCTACCTGATTGCTGACTTGAAAACTCTTTTGTAGTTTGGATAATTAGATGAGTAGTAATGGCACTAATATAACTTCTATACTGCTTTCTTACAATACTGTCGTTCGTGTTGTGTTCTTATTATTTTTCTTATGTTTTTCACGTTCTCTATTCTCAAACAAATACTTTTTACTAGAAACCTCGTCACTATTATGTTGCTTCTTAATAACACTTGAATAGTTGACGAACTTCTAAGAATATAATAGGAAAAAAAAAACAGCACAACAATACAACAAGGTTATTTGTCAATTGAAGTAAAAAAACAAGAAGCAAAATGAACATGTAACAGAAACATGCAACCGATTATTATCTTTCCCATATATTAACGTAAAAAGAAGCGAATAAAATGGCTAAGAAGATAGACATCTATTTTTGCAGTTGAAAACGTGCAATTCTCATAAGAATTGTCCAACAAAATGAAGTATAAATCGCATTTATCTTAAAGCTAAAACTATATGCATACGATGAAGTAGTAGAAGAACAAATTCATTATTTAGCAATTGACACTTTTAGGTCTTAGTCATAATCGTGCAACTGAAAGCCTTATGCGTCTTTTTCTTCTATCTATGCGTTATCCTTTTACTTTTTTTTTTTTTCTATAACGAACAATTTTTTGAGGCGTTTACTCTTCATGACTTTCTTTCTCATTCATTTTACCTCTATTTTTAATTTCAAATTAGAGCAACATCTGTTTCAGACAGGGAGCTACATCATCATTAATGAGAAGATTAACAACATCTTTTAATAATGACAACTTTTAGAGAATAGTAAAAAGAAAAACGAAAGAATGAGAAAAAAAAAGAAGAACACCTAATTGAGATTTGATTCTCTAGTTATGAATTCAGTTTAATATTCATTCTTCTTGTTTTGCTTTTTGATAAAATCGAATTAATCTCGGAAAAATTATTCGACTTCGTAGACACATATTGATGAATCTTCTGACATAAACTCACTATGAGCATGATCGAATAAAGTAATCGATTTGTCTATCAGATCCTTTTCTTTTTCTTATTTCTTGTTTGACATCTTAGAAAGAATCTTCCCTTTCAATTCTCTCAATCGTACGGTCAAGTGATGCGTTATATCAAAGAAAAAAAGAATATAGATATATATCTGAATGACATACAGGAAAAAAAAGAAGAGCTATCTCTAGTCCAATTTCCGAAAGCTAGTGCTCTATTATCATTATTCATATGATTGATTTCTAAGCAATTCTTTATTTTCTAATTCTTCTTTTTTGCCTGTAGCTTATGTCACTAACATCTGCCTATATACCTGTCATATTTTTCTTTCATGTGTATGATAATATTTCTATAAATAAAAAAGAAACGAACTACAAAATATAAATAGTTGGTGTTAATGCACATGTATATTTATTTATACACAAGTCACGATTACATAGAGATATGACAATTATTATCATATTACAGAATCCGGCTATCTCAACCACTACTATAACACCAAGAAGCAAAGTGATTCTATGTCTCATTAACATAAAATATCTATGTGAACATACTCAAACCTTACAGGATCATTGTCGGTCACAGCTGTAAACAATCATTTGACATTGTCTTTTATGTATGTCTATAAATATATTCTAGAAATCTGTTCGCAAAACATTTTTGAATTGGCAATGAATATATTAACTAATGTTAAAGAAAAAAAAAATCCTATACTCACTCAAGCTTTTATTTTAAATATATTGAAAAATACTTCAACATAATCGTTATTAGAAAATGTACTTGTCAATACTTTTCTTCGTCTTTTTATTTTTATTCTTCTATCGGTCTATTCATCTATATATATATCTATATATAGATGAATGTGTTATTTTAAGATCTGAATAGTATGCATAAGTAAGATAATCGCCTCAAGATATGATGATAATAAACAACCGTTCAATTCTCTAGAGTGTTTTATAAATCAAATTGAATGCTTAGATCACACTTCTAACTCTAGTATTACACAAGAGGAATGAATATTGATAATTTAATAAATAAAAAAAAAGAAAATTTTCCTTACATGTCTAGATGAAAACAAGAATAGGAAAAGTCAATCAGCATGAATAGTATTTATTTTTATATATTAATTCATTACTAATTTAATATATCGATTGGAGAAGAAATTCATTTGTGTAAACAAAAATATGACGACGATTAGTGATTGTTTCTCTTTTCTTTTTTTATTCTCGCCAGTTTTTTCTATGGATCAATTAAATCACATTCTATAGATATTATACTGCTTTTCTATTGAACTAAATGATTCATTCGACAGCTGACACTATTCTTATCGTCTGAAAAATAATAAAAATATACTAATTTTCAAAGACTTCTATACAAAAGAGAACAAAAAATAATATTTGATATCTAATGAAAAATCGAAAGGGGTCGCTGATGTTTTTATTTAATGAAGTCCATCACATAACAACAATGTTTACATATCTATTCTTAATGTGTTAAATTCAACATTTATGTAGACAATAAACTTAATTATAAAACATGACAGTTTTAATTTTTGAGTCAAGTGCACTTATAAAAAACAATTATACAAAAAGTTAAAATTGAATTTCTTTTCAAAGACAAAGAGAATTTTTCTCAATTCTTTTGTCTTTTTAATTACATACTAGGTACATAAATTGTGACAACAGAAAAAAATATTTATGAAGCCAACAACGAAATAGACGATGAACGTATTAATGTAATTAAAACAGCAGATAAAATAAAAAAAAAGATAAATAATCAATCCATTGTCGAGACAATATATCATGTTACTTAGTTTTAATAGCACGTTGTTTCTTTCTCTCAAGTGCAAATATATGTTCTCAAGTTGCATTTTATTAAAACATAGAAAAGGTAACATAATATCGAAATACAATACTCAATATTCATTCTTATAGTGCTACTTATTATTTAATAACTAGAGAATACTATAACTCTTATCTAGTTTAATTCTACTATTAAATCCTATAATGATGTTCTTATATGTCATACGAATTTCAAGCAATTTATCACAGCTATAAAATAGTTGTGTAAGTAGCAAAAAGAAATTGTAAGAGGATTCAGTTTCCTTTTCAATGTCTGTAGAAAGAAGCAGATACCTGTTGCTGGTGTTTCTATAAGATACACGCAAACTTCTTTTTCAAGCGAAGCTCAATCGCTTGTAAAAAGAAAAGGAAGCGGGTTGCTGAGCACCCATCTGGTTACACCACATGTATACAATAAGTTAATAAATAAAAAATCTTTTTCTATTATATCAGGATCATTTACTTCATAAATTTTACTGTATGTATGGTATAATTCAATTGCAGAGCAAGTTATTCTTATCGACACATAATTTTTCGTAACTAAACGCATTAGTGCAAAATAAATGATGGAGAGTTAGTGTTTATAAGTAGTAGATCGAGCATTCGTGGGCGATAATACACTTATCTCAGAAGCTAATTGATTAAGAAGACAAAGTTAAATAATAATAATGATAATATCATCTGATCAAAGTGATCCGATTAACATAGAACATTTATCAAGAAAGGTTTGAACTTTTTCTTCACTTACCTTACCACAAGATCCTCTTTTTCTATTCCATTTATTATAATTTTGTTCTTTTTTTTTATGTTGGTAAAAGTAGCACTGTAATCTTTTATGCATTAATAATAAATTAGATGGTTAAATGTGTGAATTTTTTTGTTGATCATTTGGTAGTAAGCCTATTTTGTTGATCAAAAATATTTATATTCCATAATATTTTCCGTATCTATCATTTAATCATATTATTCTACATTTCCCAAGAGATCAACAAGCCAAAAAAACGTATAAATATATATATCGATATTACAGAGGATAAAAATTATGTAGACCAAATGAAGCAGTTCAATAGCATTCAAATTACTTATTGGTTGATATAATAATTAATGAAGTTTCAAGAGATTACATATAGTTCGGTTTTTTTTATTGGCACTTGCTTCAAGCCCTCCCTTCTAAAAAGTTACTTTTCGCCAGAATCATCGAAATTGAGATAAATTCATCAGAAAATAGCCCGTCATCTGCTATTTTATATGCGACAAAAACTTTTATTTGACACCTCTTTTTTTCCAAAAATTTTGGAAGATTTTCGTCACCCCCTATTCGAAAAATGAGCCGTTTTTTCAAAAAACCGAAAATCATTTTTCGTTTTTCTCAAAACGTGGCTTCAACAACGTAGCACCAGCAGAACTCTATCATGGTAAAAGATAAAGTCAAATATTCTTTTTTTTGTTTGAAGAGCATGTCAGAATGCAGCCCCTCTCGTGGCCCTTTTTTTTAAAAAAAGCTTTCTCATTTTCATCTAAGAAAACACCTCTATAAAAGCAGCGCCATTTTTTTAGGGTTTTCTTTGAGTCATTGGACTTGTCATTCCTTTTTTTCGCTTAAAGAGTAAAAATTTTAAAAAAAGGACTACGAGAGGTACTGCATTCTGACATGCTCTTTCAAACAAAAAAAATATTTGGCTTTATCTTTTACTACGAAACAGTTCTGCTGGCGTTACAATAGAATATTTTTGACCTTTTTTGGTGAATATCTCTGTTAAACGTCATGATATAGGGCTGAAAATTTTACCATAGTCATGGTTTACCAATCTCAACATATTCTGAAAGTTTCATGCAATTTGGATATTCCTGGGCTGAGATCCATTTTTGAGAAGAGAGGCCTTAAATCAAGTGTAATATACAGTAACTTAACGAAAAGGTTATCTTTGCTCATTCATCTCTGTTTAGTGAATATATCGAAGAACAGACAGTATTTTTTTAATTTTACTCGTTTTT